GGTGGTGTTCTTGTATAATTCAAATTATAAATGATATAACTAAACAAATTAATAATTAATTAGGTGAAGCTGCGCTTGAATTTGTCATCGCATCATCGTATGCAATGTGGTGAATTAGGCCTATTATTGCTCATTATTGTCTGTGGGCTATTTTAGTAATTTAAATAACAGGTTATCTTAATATATTGATTAATGACATTGTATTATAATAGCCTATTACACCACCCAAATATGTATTTACTTCCTTCTAATTCTCATTGTCAGTGCAGGCTTGTTTATTGACCGTTATGAAAAGTGACCAGTGTAGCCTGCATAAAAAAGCCTTGAACATAAAACAACAGGACAAAAATATAGTTGATGACTAGGCATAATCATTTCATGACTCTATACACTTCTTTGTGAAGACAGTAGCATAATACAGTGAAATAATGTTCTTTAGCCATTCAAAAACAGCCGTCATGTGCGGGGGTAAAATTCACCCGCTGGCGCTTTATGGTATTCAGCGACCCCTGGCGGTTCTAGTGTTAAACTGGTCAACAACTAATTAAACCATCTACTGTTGGATGGCTAATCAACCATCTTGACCTATCCCTAATCGGGACATCATTGATCCCCCCACTGCATCATCCTTGTGCTGTATTGCATGTTACGAAGGGGGAAAAAAAATGTGTTCCACTTCTCATCTGCTTCTCATCAGCTCTGAGACGAGACTCTAAGGTCTTTGCTATGCACAAGCTTGACCAGACACACTGCAGAGCGCATTGCATCATCCTTTTGCCATTTGAAAACAAGCAAGATGACGCAACTGTCCATGGCAACTCTTGTCGAAGTATTGTAACATACGAGACCTGTGTGAGTCTGTATTAGCAGTACTGGTAAAGGTTTCAGCAGGCCACGGGTTTACATTCAGATCATTTCCCTTTTTCATTGTAAACTCTTGGGGGCAGTCAGTTCAGATCTTGTTCTTCTTAACCACCTGGCCTGTATGTATATGTTACTGTTGGAAAAGTTCATGTCCAGAGGTGTCTGACATCAAAAACGAGCACTTGCTTCCAGAACCGTCGTGTCTTGGCTCAAATGACTTTCAAGAGACCAGCCAAGGTGATGCTTAATACTTTGCTAATGGTAACCTTTCCGTTAACCTTTCCTAACATTTATATAGGCCATTTTTTTTTGCCGTTTTTGGATCGGCATTAAATGCTTTTTCTGTTTGATGTGTTCTGTTCCATCTGATCAACAGGTTCTCACACAATCTGCCAAGTTTCACAGGTTTCCATAGAACTTGAATGCATGTCATTCACAAAGATGTATATTTGCGTCTTGTGTGCTTTTTTTTTTTTAGAGCTCAACAAGGAGTTTACAAAAAAGTGCTGTATTGCCACTGAAAATTGTACCACTATTGATCTTGTACATGCATTTTTTGCACATTCTGATTTTTGACGATTTCTAGCTGGCTAACATAGATATGATTTTGCTGAAATTGCAAAAAAGGCTCCCTAAAGCATCAGTAAGAATGTGTTGAAAAAAAAAGATAGATTACTTACAAATTGTATTTTATCTGAAACGTAGATTACTTACAAATTGTAGTGAAATTGTTACTGATTACAGATTACATGAAGAAATTTGTAGTTAATAACGTAATCTAGGTTACTTGTTTTAGATGTAACGTATTGTAACATACATAGCTTAATACGTAACTTTGGTGGGTTTTTGTTCAATGTGAGCCAAAATCATCACAATTAAAAGAACCAAAGACTTAAACTACTTCAGTCTGTGTGCATTGAATTTATTTAATACACGAGTTTCACAATTTGAGTTGAATTTCTGAAATAAATGAACTTTTTCATGACATTCTAATTTATTGAGATGCACCTGTATTAATTAGACAGGCCAAAATCGACCTGTTCTCAGCAGAGCTCCTGAGAGAGGAGCTGTAAAAATATATTGAGATGGTTTTTGGTACTTATACCGCAAATATATATTCTTAAGGACATCAAAACCTAAAATAAAACTCCAGAAAGGTGTAAAATATGGGACCTTTAAATATTTACATGCATGTGTTTGTATATATATATATTTATACATAATAAATATACACCATATACATATAGTATGTAAACAAAAACTTTTATTTTGGATGCGATTAATCATTTGACAGCACTAATATAAAGCTAACAATTAATTAAATCATAAATATGTAAAATAAAAATAATTTAAACACGTAAAATTTTAATATTTGTTTACCTGCATGTCAGTGTGACCATCAAGTGACATTGAACTGTAAACATGCGAATGTGAAAAAGAATTATTGGAATCAATAAATTAAGAATGATGTACTAACACAGTGTATGCAATCAAGTAATCCATAAAAAAGCAACTGTAATCTGATTATGAGTCTATTTCTTGGAAATATACTGTAACGTAGTTTGTAGATCGGGAAGAAGGAGGCGGGAACCGGCGAACATTTAAGATTTTAATAATAAAATAAACGAACACAAAATAGCGCGACAGCCCCTCGCGGACGACTGTCACGCACAAACAAAACCAAAACACAAAAATAAACTCCAGGCCTGGTCCTCTCTCGTCTTTCCCTGTCGTCACTCCTCCTTTGTATCCTTCCGGAGCTCCTCCGTGAGACTCGAGACCGGTGAGTGGTGCAGGTGTCGCTCATTATCAATTACTCCACCGGCCTCGCTCCGTTCCCACGGCTCTCGGCCCCGGCCCTCTCGTCACATATACATTTAAGTATACATATTTCTTGGAAATATAAAAATGAAAGCTTGGTCATTTTTCTTCTGTTGGGGCCATTGAAAATGTTGTCAGAAAAAATCCAAATGGTCATTGTTTATTGAATATTTTGCTTAAATTTGATCATGCTTTTAGCTACCAATAAAAGTATAGTACTCTTAGTACCAGCTCAATTTACCTTCATTTTACCATATTTAAATTCATTCTGCAGAAAATGTGGAAAAAAAGGTTGCAGATTCAGTTTGATTGTGCTGATCAGTCGCTAAAACTCACATTTACTCCCTCCACAGACATTAAACCTGCTAATGTCTTCATCACAGCCACTGGAGTGGTGAAACTGGGCGACTTAGGCTTGGGACGCTTCTTCAGTTCCAAAACAACCGCAGCTCATTCTCTAGGTAAGCGCTCCTCCCTCCCACCTCCTTGTCTGATTCTTTCTGTCCTTCATGGAAAATGAGAAAATGAGTATTGAATGTGGCGGAAACGGCCTTTAATTACTCAGTAGGGCCCGGATGTGTTTCATTAGGGCTGGCTGCGAGCAGAACCATGTGTCTGTTATAAAAAAGCGCCTTCCCGACGGCCCCTGGGGCCAGTTGAGAGCAGAGCGTGCCAGTGGCTGTATCCATTTCATTGAGCAGTTGGCCTTTCCTGTTGCCTTGACCCCATGACCCCGCTCCGCACATATGATGTCTGGAGGAGGACAGGATCTTGAATCCCTAACAATGCTAGGCTAGGACACCCTATGGTGACAGAGCAACTTTTGGCGAAGTTGCCCGAGGAGGTGCTGCTTTTAACACGCCTTATATTCGAGGTGACCTGTTGTTTAAAATCTCATTTCAAGAGTATACAAATTTGTTAACAGCTTGTCTTCTGCTTTATAGCAGTTTGTATTGCCAAAAAGCTTATTTTCACCATCAAGATCAGATTGTTTGTGACATTTAGTATTATAAGTATCGTAAGTCATATTTCTCTTGTCTGATCACATTTAGATTACCTTTATCATCATCTAACACTCAGTTATTCAGTTAATAATACTAATGATTTAATAACACTAGGAAATATAGTCTTTAGCAGATTTTAAAATGATCTGTTTTTCACTTTTTTTAAATTATTTATTTTATTGTATATCTCAGTGTTATTTAGTATGATACTGTGCTTCATTACTATGGACCCTTTTCATCAGCATCATAAATCCTCCCCTATTTAGATAGATATATATATATTTTTTTAAATGTATGTACATTTATAACGCTATACTTTGTATTATATCACCTTTGCATCCAATTACTGCCATTATCAGTCTCTCTGAATTTTTTTCCTTTGTTTGAAAGTCATGAAAACATTATCGTTGAGTTTCTCTTTTGCTGTTTGAGCAAATGGGAATGAAAAAATATATTTGTGGTACTCTCCCATTCACTGCTCTCGAAGTTTACCCAACTATGATGACATCCGCTGCCGAGAAACCTGGAGATGTGAAAAAGGTCTATTTTGAATTAGTTTTAATTTTTATATTTTCCATCTACTTTTTAATCTTAATTAAAATTTTAGATATTTTGTTGCTTGATTATATATTTTTAAATATGCTAATAGTTTTTTATTTTATTTTGCTATATCCAAGGTAAGCTAAAATAAAAAAAAGCTGAACTAAAGTTAAAAATTGTTTATATATATATATATATATATATATATATATATATATATATATATATATATATATATAAAACATTTATTCTGTCTCTCTCTCTCTCTCTCTCTCTATATATATATTATACTATATATATATAGAGAGAGAGAGGAACCAAAATATGATAGAGGCGCTCTAGCATTATGCCAGTGAGTTTTGGTCAGCCATCTGACTGCCTCACATTTTCCTTATGAAGTGTGCAAACGTACTTAAAATATTAATGTCGTCATTTTGATCTAATTACGATTGCAGGACTTCTATTTCTGCATTTACAATTATTTTCCTGTTGCTGACAGGTTACAGTAAACACAACACAATTAGCGCACAGGAGTAGATTATAATAACTACTGTCTTGTATTCAAGAGCTACAATATGAAACGGAATATAAATGACATATAAATCCAGTATGTTTGTGAAATGTGCATCTGTGTGTAGGAGTATAACAGTATGTTTTATGTCAGCGCTTGATGAGTATGATGTCGACGGAGAAAAAAAAAAGTTTTGCAAGTGTCTAGAAATAACCAAGTTTGCAGCATGTCTTGCATTGCAAGCTTCTAGCCTTCACCTCGACTGCAAGCAACACTGTGAAACACATGTAAACCTGAACTCACAGCGCCCTCTACAGGACGCTCCGCTCCCTCTTTCAGAAGTCTGGCTTTTCAGGATGAGCTACAATCTGCGCAAGGGCTTAATCAGGGCTGTCCTTAATCATGTCTTAATGGCGCCTGCGTCACCTGGGGACCGGAGGAGCCAGTGGATCCATACGACCACATCATCCATTCGCACCTGCTCTCAGGGCCGGTGCCACTCGTTATCATTTACAGACTGCCATGTTAGGGATCCCTAACCAGGCTTTTTTAGGACCCTAACATGATTTATAACCTCTAATGCATCGGCGAATCGTACCACCTCAGTTGCACTTGTCTTTTGTAGAGTTATCTACCTAGCTACCTCCCTACCTACTTATTTATTTATCCGAGCGCCTGGAATTCTTCTCTCGGGATGTTTTAGTATTGACAGTAGGAATGTACAAACGAGCATAAAGACACCCAGGTAGGTACAGCACACATGCGAAAGAGAGTCTCCTGCGGTTCTCTGTCACCTGTCCCGTAGGCTCCGGCTCTCCATACGAAGGCTGAAGGTTGAACCTTAACAGGGTATGAAATTCATGAGTGTCTACATGGCAGGTTAAATTCACCCATGGGCAAAGAGACCTTCGATCCGTGTCTCCCTCAGGGAGGGCAGACCAAAGCTTCCCGTTCTCGCTCGCTCCTCACAGTCCTCTGTTTCTCTCCATGCATGGGGGCGGTTTGGGGTGGAGGGTGCAGGGTTGCTTCGGTACGGTTTGGGGGTTGACAGTTCAGCCAGTAATGAGACAAACCACCACGGTAGAACTCTGGGATGCGCATTGGATGGAGGTCCGGGAAGTGCCATTCCACGGCTGTCAATTCTTCTCTTAAGAAGCCAAGCCCTAGCCTTTTAACTCAGTCTCCGAGTGGCTCCGCAGCCCACAGATACAAACAAAGAGCAAGACTTAAAGAAAGGAAAGATAGCTCTTCTTTACGTTTCCCGCCAGAGGCTTCCTAGCCTTTAAATTAAGCAGGGTGGTGAGCTGAAAGAGAGGGGAAATCGGAACAAAAGAAAGTCGGGAAGAGAAATGACAATTAAAATAAGGGAAAGTGAGCTAATCCTGAACCTTCACATTCTACTATTAACATCAAGAGCGGTGCGTATTACGTGCTAGCGTCTCATCCAAGTAGGGCTGTGAATCTTTGGGTAGACAGCGAATCGATTTGATTCACGGGTTTTCGATTCGATTCAAGAACGAATTTTGCTAATTCAGAACGATTCGATTCACTATTAAATTCGATTTGATTCGATTAACGATTCGATTCTGCATTCTTTTTAGTGCATTCACAGGATTATTTAAATGCTTCCCCTAAATTCTTTAAATGCTTAGTCAGGTGGCAAATTACACAGCAGCCTTTATGGTTAGAGAACCATAGGTTAGAGAGGAAAAAAAAAGTGACAGAAATGTAAAATACAATAATTTTATGTGTGTATGTTTTATTATATATATATATATATTTTTTTTACAAGGAATTATTTTCTTATCTCGTACTTTGAATTTGCTATAAGAAATCAAATACACTGCTGGACAATAATCAATCATTTGTAATCTATAATTTTTTCCTAATGGCAATTTTATGATCGTTTTATATACTACAAACAATTATTTACATTTTCTGCACAGAATAAGGTAGAAAATATACTTTATAGTTTCTGTACTGTAATAAATGTCAGTTAGCACTGCATCATTCATAAATTGTATTTATTTATTGTGTTTATTGTCTTAACGTTTCAGTTCATTCTGCTTTTTATTCAGCTTAGCTGCAGATATAGCCGTATTATGTGTCTTATGTTTTATGGGCGCGAGATTGCTTCTCTTTCAGTGCGAAAACTTCTTTATCTCATTTTCATAAAATAAAATTGCTATAGTATTTAACTTTTCCTCTCCATCGGTGAATGATGATCCTGAAAGAAAACGCGCCTGATGTCTGTTTGCTGTAGCAACGAACGCTATTCTTTCATGCATCTGATTATCAGATAAACCTCGCGTTCTTATTTCAAGGTTGTTGTTAATGCTGTGGTTATTTTAACAGTTTCCTTCGTACATTCTGCACTTGTCTTTTGTAGAGTTATCTACCTAGCTACCTCCCTACCTACTTATTTATTTATCCGAGCGCCTGGAATTCTTCTCTCGGGATGTTTTAGTATTGACAGTAGGAATGTACAAACGAGCATAAAGACACCCAGGTAGGTACAGCACACATGCGAAAGAGAGTCTCCTGCGGTTCTCTGTCACCTGTCCCGTAGGCTCCGGCTCTCCATACGAAGGCTGAAGGTTGAACCTTAACAGGGTATGAAATTCATGAGTGTCTACATGGCAGGTTAAATTCACCCATGGGCAAAGAGACCTTCGATCCGTGTCTCCCTCAGGGAGGGCAGACCAAAGCTTCCCGTTCTCGCTCGCTCCTCACAGTCCTCTGTTTCTCTCCATGCATGGGGGCGGTTTGGGGTGGAGGGTGCAGGGTTGCTTCGGTACGGTTTGGGGGTTGACAGTTCAGCCAGTAATGAGACAAACCACCACGGTAGAACTCTGGGATGCGCATTGGATGGAGGTCCGGGAAGTGCCATTCCACGGCTGTCAATTCTTCTCTTAAGAAGCCAAGCCCTAGCCTTTTAACTCAGTCTCCGAGTGGCTCCGCAGCCCACAGATACAAACAAAGAGCAAGACTTAAAGAAAGGAAAGATAGCTCTTCTTTACGTTTCCCGCCAGAGGCTTCCTAGCCTTTAAATTAAGCAGGGTGGTGAGCTGAAAGAGAGGGGAAATCGGAACAAAAGAAAGTCGGGAAGAGAAATGACAATTAAAATAAGGGAAAGTGAGCTAATCCTGAACCTTCACATTCTACTATTAACATCAAGAGCGGTGCGTATTACGTGCTAGCGTCTCATCCAAGTAGGGCTGTGAATCTTTGGGTAGACAGCGAATCGATTTGATTCACGGGTTTTCGATTCGATTCAAGAACGAATTTTGCTAATTCAGAACGATTCGATTCACTATTAAATTCGATTTGATTCGATTAACGATTCGATTCTGCATTCTTTTTAGTGCATTCACAGGATTATTTAAATGCTTCCCCTAAATTCTTT